ATATATATATATATATATATACACACACACACACACACATATTCTGTGAACTACTAATTCTACATACTTGTACTGAAAATATGCAAGGAATGCAAACCCTAACATCATTGATATTTATTGTGAAGTACATTTAGTAAATTATTATTTAAAATACTTCTAAACATTAATTTTTTTTACAATATTCTGTTGCCAGGGTGCTTGCACTAAAATTAATAGAAACCTATAATTTTGGATCAAAGCTAGTATTTTAAATGAATCAGAGTAAAAAAAAATGATGTGTTCTTTTATTTGCCGATTAGCTTCAGTCTTTCCTCTTTTTTTGAGGAAAGGCATATAGGAAGTATGACATAACTTTTTTTCAGCAATTTGATTTAGTGGTTATAAGTAATTATAATATTGATTACAACATAATAAGAGTATGATACTTTATTGAAACTTGTTTAAAAAAAACAAACTGTTTATTGGTTTTGAAAGGATCTCACAGCAGCTGTTGAAAAAGACTTTTTAAAAACCTTAAGTTTACTGAAGAAAAAAGACCCAAGAATATATAACCCAAATGAAAATTTCTTTCGGAAGAAAGGTACGTTTGTAGCTCAGTCATGGAAATATCCCTAAAATTGTTACTTCTTGTCTGTATCATGAATTTCATTTAAATGTAATAAGTTGCACAGTTGTGTATGTTGATTTTTTATTGTTAAAAAGTTTGCTTATTAGTTTAATAACAACACTATAAAAATTGAGTAAGTTTGTGTGAGGTAATTTGTTAAAGTTATTATATTAAGGACTATAATTTTAAGTTTCATGTGAAATTACAGTTCGAGGTTATTGTTTTACTTGTAAAATAACATGCCTCATGGATGAGGTTATTTGGATATTTTTCAGCACCCTAAGATTTAAAATGACTTTTTTGATACTTAAAGGTTTATTTAAAATGAATCTATTTCAGTTATATTTTATTAATTTAAATTTAAATTTCATTGGTGTTCAAAATTCGTTTTGTTAAGTAATGATGGTCTTTATTAATTTTTTTATTTATTTTATGGTAATTATATAGGTTGATGACACAATTTTCCAGTATGCATGAAATTTGGAGTGAAAAAAGATCTTTATTTCTTTTTTTTTAATTTCTTTGTGAGGTAATTTCTAAGTTCTTTTTTTATGTAGAAGTTGAAGAAGGGAGATTAAATAGCTCTACCAATAAGAAAGAAAAACAAAAACCAATGTACTTGAAAGATTATGAAAGAAAGATTATATTAGAAAAGGAAGGGTAAGATTTTGTGACTTGATATTCATTTATGAATAATGATTGTTCACACAATTCTCAAAAGTAAACAGTAAGTACATTTAACTAATTAACTGTCAGACTTACATTAGATTTTTCATTTTATGAAATTTTTATTCAAATATAATTTATATAATTCCCCACAAGAGCCTGTATTTAAAGTGCAGTTATTCTTTAAGAGGTTGCTAACAAAAGTGTTGTTTATATGTTTTGTAAATAATATTTATTTTTCCTACTTTTATGAAAATATTACTATAAACCTTATAGATTGAGTCAAAAAACTGGAGGTGTTAAATATTGTGCTTAAAGAATATTAAGTTCAGTATTAACATCTTATATAGTCATGAAGAAATGTATATTTTTTCCCTTGGGAAATTTTACTAAGTCCAGTATTATAAAAATATAATATAATTCTTTTGTGTGGGGAAATTGTTCTTTGCGAAATTTTGTAAAAATTTATTGTTGATATATTTTTCCCCATTTAGAAATTTTACCAGGTTCAATATTATACTTAGTATGGATATAATTTTTGATCCCTGGAGAAACTTGAGTAATTCTGTTTCTTTTCTTGCAAGGAAATTATCTGATGAAGATGAAGATGCAGGTTTCAAAAGGTCTTCATCACCTACTTATTTTGAAGATCAGGAACTAATTAAAGAAAGGTATTTGAAATGGATATTCTGTGAATCAAATTAGAATAGCTTTTACATTTTGGTGTTTACTTCACAACATTTTTTTTAATGGTATTTAAGATTTAGATATATCCCGAACCATGGTGGGTTCATAATAGGGATTGCCCATTTGTTCTTCTTTATTATTATTATTTGATATTGTTCTGCCAGCCTATCGAATTACATCCACGGCATGCATACCGCTATATATGTATGCATGTAGTAGATTATGAGGTTCGATATAAACCACAGACTACATTAAAACAATTGGGTGTCAACAGCTATACAGACACTATTATTTGCTCAGTGGTCAAATAAACTTAAAAACTACCCTACACAATATGCAATGATGCATTTAATAATACTGCCCACATTTTACAACAATACTCACAGTCATTTTTGCGGTGTTTATATGGCAGGCATGACACAAGTAACATAGTGATTATTAGGTTATTCTTGCAACTGTATTGATGTCAGTATCATTTGTTTATGTATAGGGTTCCTGCCCTTTCAGACACAATGCTGGTGACAGAATCACAGTTTTGTTTTTACCACTACATGATCTATTTCAGCTTTGTTACACACAGACGTCTAAAACATTATACAAACGTCTAGGATGTTTCCCATAATAGAATATTTTAAGCCGTAGTTTAAAAGATAGCACCAAACTCAGTATTGAGCATTGGATTGGCAGTCACGGTGATGACTGATGGTAAGTGTCAAATTATGGCCAACACTGCATGATTGTGAATTTTATAGATACTTCAGATAGAATAGCCATCCTTGAAGCTGATTGTGAGGAGTGACAAGAATCATGCAAGAAGGCAGAACTTTTGTAGCTATGTATTTTATTTAGAAAATATTTTATTTCAAATAAAGTACGCAGCAGTGACAGCCTACCAGAGTTTAAGGTTGTCACAGTGAAAGAGGGTCATAAAAGTGTCATGATGCAAACTCCATCAGAGATGGAGGAAGGGGGTGGGTATATTAATATAATCAATTTATAATTGTTAATTAATACATTTTGGACCTTGTAGAGTGTGCAAAATGTCACTTTAAGAGGAACCTGGCCAGCTGCAATAAAACCGTGACCAGCCTTACTATGGCCAATGGAAAAGAGGAAGGGGGAAATATAACAACTATAAGAAATATTTAAAATGCTTATTTGTATACATAAGCTATTATATTATGACACATTGTCTTATATTTGTATTGAATATATATATGCATGCATCTACACAACTTGAAAAATTCTTATGGCTATCTTGTTTACGTTTACAGCTTTACAACTTAAACTGTAAAGCCTGCATATATATGTGTATGTACATAGCATAGTCACAAGTAAATAGACACCACCTTTTCAGAAAAAATAAAATTTTTCAGTCATATTCACATGAATTGATATATTGATAATTTAATTAATGTCTAGCAGATCTTCCTTTCGCTTCATGGAGTTCGTTGATCCTTTGGGGAGAATCATCTCATCAATTTTAGATTGTGAGATTTTCACCCACTCTTGCTTC